AAACAGGGGACCCTACTTTTTTTGGGCATCCAGATGAGTTTTGTGGAAGACAACTTTTCCATGGTGGGTGGGGAAGGGATTTTTGAGGATGATTTAAAGATCCCATGCACACACAGTTCATAGTAGGGGTTGCAGTCCTATGAGAATCTAATGCTGCTGATCTGACAGGACGTGGAGCTCAGGCAGTGATGTGAGCACTGGGGAACAGCTGTAAATACAGATGCAACTTTGTTTGCCGCTAACCTCCTATTGTGGCCTAAATCCTAACAGGCCATAGACTGGACTGGCCAGGAGCCCAGGGATTGGGGACCCTCTGCTTTAATAACTCACCTTTTCTCTTGACTCCTGTCAATTTAAGTTCCATCTCTGAATTTATGTACTCTAGATATTTCATGAAAGTAGAGTCATAATACTCGTCTTCTAGTTTCTAGCTTATTTCATTAGGCATGTTTTCAAGGTTCACTTTAGGTTGGGAGTGCATGCTTAATATACACAAAGCCTTGTGTTCAATTCTCAGCACCAAAAAATAGTTTGAGTTGTATCAGAATTTCATTTCTTGCTGGGTATGGTGGTGCATGTCTGTAATCCTAACACTTGTGAGGCTGAGGCAGGAGACCCCCTTGAGTTTAAGGCCAGCCTGAGATGCAGAAGGAGACTCTGCTTCAAAAGAAAAAAAAAAGAGAGAAAAGAAAAAAAAAAAAGAATTTAGGGCCAAAAGTATTGGATTGTGAGGACATACTGCATTTATGTGATGGTTCCTCAGGGGACATTTGAGATGTGTTTGCCTTCGGGCTGTCGTGAGTAATGCTGCCATGTACCCGGATGTACCTACATCTGTGTTTAGTTCTGTTGGGTGTACAGCTAGTAGTGGAACTGCGAGGTCATGAGGGAGTTCTAGGTTTGAACTCCGAGGAACTATTAGAGCATCATTTTACATTTCCAATAAAAATGTCTTCATATCCTTTTCAAAATGTTATTTTCTGTTTTTCCGCCAGCCATCTGAGAGGGTGTGGTATAACACCTCACTGAGATTTGGTTTGAAGACTGAAGGTAAATACACAAATTAAAGCTCTAGGCCTTGGAAGCAGATTGGGATAATGCTCACAGTGACTATGATTAATTAGGTGCATTAAAAGCAGATTACATAAACTCAGGAGCTAAGACTCCTATTTTGAAGGCCCCTCCGGACTCCCTCTGTTCCCTTCCCCTGATCCAAGGCTGCCTGCCCAGGGTATCTTCCTCCCTGGTACTTGCCTCATTAGTACCTCTAAGTGTACTCAGAGTCCATGACCTAGAAAACTGCTAGAGACCACGTGAAATCCTTTGCTTTGACTTCTACATGGGTGGGATAGGTTGGGTACAGAGTTCACAGAAACAGTGCTGGGAGGATATAATTGATAGAAAACTAACAAATAATAGCATCTACCTCTCTTTTTATCTCATGGCAGGTGGGGGAGGGTGATTTCTAGGCCTCTCCATTGTTGTTGTCTGTTCATCTTTGGCCATGGAAACCGCCTTCATGGTCTTAGACTGCCCTCCTGCATTCTGTGGTCTTACGCTGTTCATTAATCTCATATCCTCAGCTACAGCTTCAACCTATTTTCTCTGAATTTTTCTTCCTTTAGTATATTGGTTAGAGTAGGACCCTGCTTCCCTTTAGTAGGAAGGAAGTAGTAGGAGGCAGGAAGCTTTTGATTCTATACATAATTCTGTTGGGTAGTCATGTATCAGAATTTAAAACATCTAACTTTATATAATTGGATTTTATCTTTAAATTACTACGGTCTTCATGAAATGGTTTATATATATGACCTCACTTTTTTTTTTTCAGTGATCCTGCAAAGAAATCCTCTCATTTTATAGATGAGGCTCAAAAGTATTGTTGATGCTACTAAATATCTCTCGTCTTTTCCAAGTATTATGTGCCCCAGATTTATAGTGGGAAAATTTGGACCTGAGTCCAATGTATTTATATCATTAACTCCTTTACAGTTTTGACACCATACAATTCAAACTTCATAGTCACCCAAGTATACATTTATCAAAGATGTGCTACTAACAAGCTAACTTTAAGAGGAAAATATGTAAGAAGTGATTGGAACCCAAGATTAAATGTTCAACAGAAATCCTCTTTTTAGGTTGTACCACAGAGTAGAAGTTCTCAAACTTTCTGGACAAGTGGCACTCCTTTGGGCAAGAAACAGCTAACCATTCTGATTATTAAGTATAGGTTCTAACAATGTAGTAAGTATTTGTGTTCTAACATAAGAACTATATAAGTTGGCTAGGGATATAGCTCAGTGGCACAAGGTTGTGAGTTTGATCTCTGTTACAAAAACAAAAACAAAAATGAACACATTTATCTTGGAAGAAAAATATTTTATTGCATGTTAAAATTGCCAGTCATTAATGGCATGTGTACATCTGTTGGGCAATGCCACATTTCAAACCCTGGAAGATAATCACCCCGTTCATTTGTTCCACAGTGCTTTGTGCTGGATATTTGCTTTTTACCATAGCAACTAACTACCAAAAGCTCAGTTTTATACAGATAAGGAGTTTTGAACAGTGTTGCACACAGGTCAGAAACTGGACTAATATTTGGAGTTAGTAGTTTATGTGACATCTGACAGAGACTGATGTTTCCTTCAAAATTTAAAATATCTCAGGGAACTCCTGTGAGTACACTGTAGCACTTGGGGTGCCTGGTGACCCAGGCAAGTCCTTCATATATGTAGGTTCATTTTTATTGTCTGTATTTGATACCATATGTTGCTCTAATGTACACAGACATAGTGAAATGGTTTCTGTATCTCATACTTTCTAGTTGTTGTGGAAAACTTTTATACTTTTTCCCTTTCCTCCCCTGCTTACTCTTATCCCCCGTGTTTCTTTTGTTTCCGTTTTATGATGACAAAATCTTCTTTGGAGCTTCAAACTCGAATTCTCCAACCATGACATTTCATAACATATACAGAAATTTCAACCTGGAGTGAAGTCAACTTGTAAAGTTGGTACATGTTTTAACTGACATATGTATGCAAATCTGATATTTAGATACATTTTACCAGGTGTGAAGTTTTTACCAAGAATTCTTTTTTTTTTTTTTTTTTAAACCAAGAATTCTTTACATTCTCAAATTGAGTATTTGGTGGTTGGTGAAGCCGGGACAAAAAGGATGGAAGGAATGAGAAAGAAAAAGGAAAAGGAAATGAAGGAAAAATACCTGAATCATTTATTTACAATGTTTATCAACGGCCAGGTACATTCTTGGAGCAAGACAATACTGAGCGAAGAGCTGGGTTGCTCCAGGATCCACATGATCAACCCTGATAGCTGTCTGTTGACCGAGATCAAGTCTAGCTCAAACACAGGCTGAGCGTGCAGGAAGATTCCACAATACAGGAGTTTAGGTTTGGAGTCAGGCTGCGTTCAAGTTCTACTTGGTAGCTCTGAGGCTTCTGTATATCTTGTGAGTTTGATCTTCTCATTTAAGTGGGAATAATACCTATCCCAAAGTTGGCTCTTCAGGACTGATAGCACCTGTACAATGCGTATTACACATCTAGTATTTAAAGTTAGCTAGGTAATGGCTCTTATTATTAACTTAGCAGAGACAGTCTGCTGAAGAATACAAAAAGAACAGAGAACAAATAGTGAAGAGAATGGCAGAGTTCACGTCAGGGGCTGCTAATATGCAGACCTGCACAGCACTCCAGAAAGCCACGTGGCAGTGGCTACTAACAGTATATGCAGATGGTGTGACCCAGCAATTCAACGCCTGGATATATGCTCCGCACTCAGATACCATGTTCCAAAACATCTGTACAACAGCATGGTGCACAGTGCCCCCCAAACAAAACAAAACAACACTGCACACAACCCAAAGTGTAGAATGAATAAATCCCAGACCACAGAATAAATCCTGCCCCACAGAGAGCACCTGTGCATTGCTGCTGTACACTGCAGCTCAGTCTCATCTGTGGAGCACAGGCGGCAGACTGCGACAGGCACCCCTAGGAGCATGTGCTGTAGGAATGGCGTTGGTCCGCGTGCTGAAGAGGAGCGGGGTGCTCTGAGGGGCAGAGTTAACAGCGGGGAGGAGCCTTCTGGGGTTGCCTAGAACGTGTACTCGCTTTTTAAAAATCCTTGTGATTTGTGTAAGTTTTACTCTTAACAGTTTAAGAAAAAGTTTGCTATCCCCCTTGCCAGCTGGTCACCAACAGGGTGACTGGCTATGCTCCAGGCCCTTCTGCAGGGCCGTGGTGTTGGTTTTTTAGATCAAAGGGCAGAGACCAACTGCAGCCTAATAGGCCAAGTCACGGTGGTGGGCTGCGGAGAATCTTGGACAGTCCTTGAATCATTCTCTTATAAACAAAAAAAGAGGGAAGGCGAGTGGAGGAGGGGAAATCACAGAGCTAGATGGAGGGTGGGGGAGAGAAAAGCGAGGTAGAAAACAAAATACTGCACCTCTCTGCTCCTGGCAGTTACAGGCCTAAAGTGTTTTTCATGTCCCACACAGCATGACGCTGGGCTTTAGGTGGTATTTTGATCACTGCTAGTTTTTTGTTCAGTGAGTTCTGAGCAGGGACCCACTGTTTATTAAAGAAATAACGGCTATAGAGTTTAAGAACAGAAGTAGTTGGCAGGCTGCTATCTTCTGATGTCCCTCCTCCCCACTCCTGCTGGGGTGGCCGAGCTCCAGAATGGACTCAGACAGCTAAACTTTCCACCTTGAATATGAGCTTCTCTTTAAGCACATCACAGGTTTAGCGAACTGTACCAAACCCACAGGGAAAGCATGCATATGTGTATTTTTAAAATTAATTGACTAATGACATAATTAAACTTTAATATGTGCTTTTTAGAGGACACAGAAAAGAAAGCAGAATGAGGGCAAGGGTGTAGAGAGGAAAATAATCAATGGTAACCACAAGGCACGTGATTTACCTGTGCCCATACAATCTCAAGTAACTTACTTCAATTTGATAGACAAGTGATTTACTTGTTACATCAGTTCCTTTTATTGTGACACATGTCATTTCACTTAGTAAAGACCAGTGGTGTCGGGTGGAAATAAAAAGGTGATCTGATTGATCAAAGATGCCAGAAAAAGGGACAGTTTGCTTGTGACAGATCTAAGCTTTCACAGTTTGTGGATCCTGTACAAGTAGGTGATTCCTCATGTTTTGGAGAATGTTGCCAGAAGTCCTTGGAGCTCCAGACTTTCCTGCACATTCCTGAAGGATTCAGGTTCCAAAAATAGGCTTCCATGTAAACTTTTCAAGAACACATCTGCTGTGAAAAAGATGTTTGTAGCAGTGGGATTCCAAAGCAAGCTTGAAAAAGACACGCCTTAAAATAACGAAAGATCAAGGATCCTTCCACATACAGAGAAGGTGACTGTATAGTGGTATTACATTGGTCAGGTTTGCACCTGAAGATGTTTTTAAAAATTGCAGCCATTTGCTAAATATAAGCCAAAAAGAGTTTGATTTGAAAGATACGCTATGGCAGCTGAATTCAGTTTTAGGTCACACAGCCCACTAGTGGGCTCATCTCAGTGCGAGACGGGGTAAGCCTCATTACGGGTGGCAGAAGAGGAGGCAGCACAGCAAGTACACATTAGCGCCTCCCAGAACTGACGTGGGCGCTTTCCTGTTCACGGAAGGTTTTAATTAGAACTGTATTCTTCACAGATGCCTCATTTCGTTGTATGCTAATTATAGACCTTGGCAAAAAAGGCAAAGAGAAGAGCAACCAGGGCCAGGCCCACAGCCGCCCTCAACGCACAGTCTTGAAGCAACCTTTGCATCTGCAGTCCGACCTGGGAACTCGCTGAGTCGTGCCGAGGTGCAGCAGGGGAACTGGACATCAGATTTGGGTGAATCCCAAGCATATTTCTGAATTCCTACAAAGGGAGAAACAAAGTTCAAAATGATTTTATTTATTGCCATAGCAGTGAAATATGGGTTCCAAGGTTAGGGATTTAGCTCAGCGGCATAAGTGCCTGTCTTGCAAGCGCACAGTCGTGAGTTCAATCTCTGGTACCAAAAAAATAAATATGGGTTCCTGAAAGGTGCTACCATTTACTTATTCCTACATGGGCACATTTGAACACCCACGTGGTTCAAGTGGCCCCAAGGTGGGTATGAATTTCAGAAGAGTCAAAACAGGTTCATGATTTTTCAGACTAGATAAGACCATAGGAAAGAGAATCAAGGCGAAGTTTATGTAGGGTAGAGTCACTCCACAAATGAGTCTAACTACAACCCTATCTACTCAGCAACAAAATAATCACCAAGACCAAGACCTCATGGCAGTCATTTTATTCAGTAAACGCACCCCTTAGGAGGAATTCCAGCTGCTACAGGAGGGCCTGAGTTCCTAGACTAACCCCACACAGTCCCTGCTGCCTGCCTTGGTGCATCACACAACAGTGTCATTTTCTCTGTGTGCCAGACACAGGTGAGGTGGAAAAGCCAGCTTGGAGAGTGCCAGGGCTTGGGACCCAAGTGCATGGCTTTTCCAATGGTCTCTGCTCAGGGCTCCTCAGCAGGGAGAGGAGGCGCACCTGGCTGCCCTCAGGCTGGGACTGGTATTTCAGAGCATCAGTTGGCTCCATTATGAGACTTTCAGCTTCTACATGCCCTGTAGGATTGATGACTTCCCACATAGCATGGGACGCCCTGCTGAAACTTGAGATTTTGAGAGATGGAGGAAAAGGTGGGTGCGATGGTTAAGCTAGACTGTGTCAACCTGACTGGCTGGGGAGCCACCCAGGGGATTGGTGGAGCACACTTCCAGTGTGTCTGGGTGGTGCTATGTCTGGTGCCTTGATCCTCCTCTCTGGCACTGCTTCCTTGTCACCATGAACCAAGCATCTTTGCTCCATCATGTGCTTCTGCCATGACATGTTCCCCTTGGAGCCAGTTAACTGTGGACTGAATCTCTCTCCCCTTTAACTCACGGGTGGCAAGTACTGCGCCAGGTAATGGGAAAGCAGCAGGCAAGGGGCAGATGAGGACTGCGGGGAGGCACAGCGGGGCGGGGCAGGGAGAGGCCACTTGGCAGCCCCTTTGTGCAAGGAGAAATCCACAGAAGCACAAAATGTCCCTCAGCAATCCTTTTGCCTGGTCTTCAAGAGCTCCAACAACCTCTGGCTTCTGCTGGGAGCTGTATCTTGTGCACGGCAGAAGCTCTGGATGGAGCTTCAGCGGGACTGGGGGGGTGGGCTGAGGGGAGCAGGGAGGAGAATCTGTGGTGGGATTTGGCAATCGATGAGGAGGGGGATAATGGGGACCAGTATTAGGATGATGGTGCAAGGGACAGAAAGAACCACAGATTTTTTTTTTTTAAAAAATGTAGAATCAACAGGATTTGAATTCTAATGGCAGAATGATGTGAAGAGGAATTAGGAATTGGGGATATGAAAACAGTGTTTACAGCCCAGCTCCACTGTCTTCACATTTCCATGGGATAGCGGTGGAAACACTGACTGCAGGAGACTAATTGTAAAATTAATAAAGCTGCTGGCTACCAGGATGAATCTCTCAGCCCAGAGACACAGTCACACTATTTACTTGTGCACTCCGCAGGCATCCGGTGATGTGCTTTCTCCCTGTTCTCTGAGCCTGCAGCTTGGCGGAGCACAGCACCTTCCTTCCCCAGGCGGCCAGCGGCCACGGCAGGTCAGCGGTGCACCCAGACTCACAGCAGAGCTACCCTCCGGGCTTTCAGTGTGTAATTGTGGAGCTAGGGCTGTGCTGGCGAGTTTCCACTTTGGTTAAAAACAGTCTCAAGAATAGTGCTCACACATATATGGCCACTATAGGAAAAAGAGTCCTTCAGCTGAAATGAAGGAAGCGGTACAAGTTCCTCAAAAGCCGCAGTCTCAGTGTGTCAAAGGCAGCCCCGAGCAGCATCGCTGCGTGCAAGTTTGCGCTGCTCTGAGGATCTGCTCCCAGGTAGGCGCTACCTGCAAGGCAGCAGAGAACACTATGGTAGCTGCCTCCCCAGCACAGTGCTCAGGGCCTGCTGCTGACAGCGAGGAAACACCTGTGTCCCCACTGTTAGCCTGCCTGCTGCGCGTGAGGGAGTGGTGAGGGGCACGGAGCAGCTCTGGGCTGTCACCCAGTCCCAGGCACACATTGCTGGGGGGACAGCGAGCAGCTTCACTTGGCTTCAGCTGTATCCATACTTGCTCACTCTGCAGCAGGCAGGACAGCTGAAGGAGCAGGGGGAAAGCCCTGGCCATTAACCTGCCCGAGTGTGCACACAGCTCAGGATGTTCCAGAGCAACTGTGCTGGGCTCCAGCTCAGGTCCTGCTCCCAGCGGACGGGCCACAGCAGAGAGGAACAGCACAGCTCCTGCTGCCACTGTGGTTGAGAGAAATTCAGCACCTATTTTGGGTGCTTAACCTCGGTCCTGTGATGCTACCATGTGACTTGTGATGCCTGACGGTCGGAGTGACCTGCACAGGCCTGGCTGAATCTTAGAGGACTGTGAATTTGGCTGGGTTTACATCTACATGCTGCTCCACAAAGCTGCAGTCCAGGCAATACACCTGTGTTCTTGGCCTAAAAAAACTCCTTTGATTTTTGGTGATGGTCTTAAAAAGCCTCTTCCTCTCAACACATCTGCGATAAAATTTTGCTCAAAATACACCTGTTGACCCCAGAGTGGCTTATCAGTAGTTGCATTCAATTTAGTCACTCTTTTTTCTCTAACATTCAAACACTTAGCACATTTGCACATAAGTGACCCATAAAATACTATTTTAGTGTTGAGGCTCCCTCCTGTCCTTAGTGGAAATATTTGCATTCCAGAATCAAATGGAAAAGCAAAAATGTGCATTATGTCACCATGAGAAGCCCACTGCCCTGACACTCCTGAAGATCAAGGGGAGAATGTGACAACAGATGCAAAGGAAATGTGGCTCGTCTGTCCCACTGTGATGTTTTATTTTCACCCTTTCCCAAATCAAGACCATGATTGTGTTGATGCTGTTTTAAAATAGGTGTCTCAAATGACAGTACTAAGTAGTAGCCAGCTAGCTTGGTACATTTCAATTGCCACTACCACTATGATACTAAAGGAAAAGTAATTTAGAAATGTAGGAAATATTAGGTCTTTCATAGCATCCCAGGTGGAAATGTTGGACCACAGAAGAGTTCACCCAGGTAGAAGTAGAGTTCATGAACAGAACACAGAATTTTTGTGATGCAATTAAACGTGCTTATAGGTGAACATAAATAGCTAACAGAAAAGATGAAAGCTGACCTAGATAACACATACAGAGTGCTTCTCGTAACTGACTTTAGAGACATATGATAGCCAACAGTTTCAGAAAGTAAATGGTTTCAAAGCTTCCCTAAACCTTTTAAACATTATCAATAGGTTACTGAGCTAAAACAGAAATTCCTTCCTTAGAACAAATTTGAAACATGGCAGTCTTGCCTTTTTTCAATCAAAATTATGCATGTTTATTCAGTTAACAGACTAAAGGGCGCACTGGGAATTCTATGAGGCACCTTGTTAGCCTGCATAACATGGGCTTCTCCTTCCTTATAAATCTCACTCTTCAAGTTATTTCTAAACCTGCTTACTTGCTCTTAAACATACTCTGAGATGTGTGTGGTGGTGCATGCTTTAATCCCAGCACTTGGGAGGCTGAGGCAGGGGGACTGCTGCAAGTTTGAGGTCAGTCTGGGCTCTATAGTGAGATCATGTCTCAAAAACAAACCAACAAATCCCCCCCCCAATTCTAATTTTCTCTAATATTTAGCTCAGTGATGGCAAACCCTTTGGAGTTTTTAATGATACAAACAGCCTGCTGTGGCCCACATGCTAGCAGTTCACTACTACTAGTACAGCCTATCAAATCCTAGCAAAGTAATATAATCTGTCAAAGCAGGGGGGAAATATATATATTTTCTGTCCAGTTCAGAAACTGAAGGATTATAATTTGGTCAGTTAAGATAGAAGCAGTTGGGGCTGAAGGTGTAGCCCAGCAGCACAGTGCTTGCTTAGCAGGTGGAAGGCCCTGGGTTCAATCCCAGGCACTGCCCCCATGCACGCGTGGTAAAGTTGGGATGGTAGCAATATTCTGTCTGTTTTCTTCTCTACTAGTTATACATGCATTGATGGGAACAGGAAACAGATGATTTTAAGTTGAGTCATTTAACACTATGAGGCACAAATGGGACTGGTTTAAAATCAGGTGATTGCTGGGAATTGGATATCCCAGCTCCATCTGAGGATTCTTGGGCAAATCATTTTATCCTCACCTTGCCTCCATTTCCTCTTTTATAAAATGAGATACTGGTAGTGTTTCTAGCATCATAGTGTTGTTATAATGATGAAATGTTATAAAGTATCCTGACTGCTTAAAACTCAATGGCTTCCATTGTAGTTTGTGGTCCTAATGAAACATGCAAATGGCCTTGGGTATTCTTGTTGTAAAATTACAAAATCATTACTTGCTGCTCAAATATGATTACGCTACCCACAATATTTCTGTTGCTTACACATAGCATTAGGAAGCAGCAGTGTAATGGATAAGCATTGGTTTGGAATTCAGACAGATCAAAAACTGAATCCATGTTTAGACAGCCAGGTGATCTTGGCCAGGTGGCACAGCTGTCCACACCTAGTAACTTCTGTGATGTAGAAATACCAGTTATGGGTTGTTGAAAAAGAAACAATGTGCTCAGAGCCCAGCGTGCCTGGAATACAGAAGGTTTATGATGAGGAGTATGGCTCAGAAATCAGAGTGGCGTCCCAGCCTCTCGTGGTACCGATCTGCAGTACCAAGACAACGGTGTCAGGTCTGGCGTCCTGCACGATCCTCCCAGCACTAACCCGCCTCGGGCCGTGCAGACAGCGCCTCACTCCCTGGGTTAGTGAAT